AATGAACTGGGGAGGAGGGTAGAGAAAACAATGCAACAATGAATGAATGAAAACCCAAAATCTCTGTAAATGTTAACTAAAACTAATAAAATTTAACAACAATAAAAAAAATTGCTATGCAAAAAGAAGTTTGGAAATTTCATTAAGAAAGAAAATAAACAAAGTAAGATTACATACAGGTGGCTTTGAAGCCCTATGAAACACCATGCTTTCTGTGAGGCAATATTTTTAAGGGAAAGATGATGGACTGAAAATCCTACAGTTAGTTCTAAGTGTTAAGTTACACCTTACTTTCATTTCAGCAAATCTATTGAAAAGGCAAGCTGCTTCTTTTGTCTAACGTCCAGTATTTATATTTAGAATATTCTCACCAATTATTCCCTGAGCCAGAAATATCGGTGATGAGCTGCTTGCTATCAAATACATCTCTTAAGGGTCCCTGCAGAATTTCATTCACGACTCCTTCCTCCATGTCAATAAGCACAGCCTGAGAAAGAAATACAATTTAATCAGCCTATTTTGCTTTATAGTCACTCTGTATATCAAAAGAATCTGAACTAAAAGCAGCATCACTCTTTTTACAATTTAAAATGAATAAAAATCTTTGTGTAGAATGTTTTGTAAGAATGAAAAAAGAATTTCACTTGGTTGAAAGCTGGAGTTCAATTAGAAACTAGATTATATCCTACTCCAAAATGCCAAGTAGGCAAAAAATTGGCTTGAATAGTCCCTTCATCAGAATGTCTAAGGATCATTTTATTTCAATGCATGTGGGTCTGTAAATTTATTAAGGTCTCAAAAATCTAGTAGCTAATCTTGTTGTTATATGCTGTCGAGGCGTCTGTGACTCATAGTGACCCTGTGTACAACAGCTCTGAAGCCTGCCCTGTCCTGAACCAGCCTGACTTTGACACACCTATCCCCACTGTCCCAGGTACTGTGCCAATCCATCTCAACTGGTGTCTTCCTCTCCTGTGCTGTCTCTCCGCCCTTCTGAGCATGATGTTCTTCTCCAAGGACTAATCTCTCCTGGACACATGCCCAAAGTATGTAAGATGGAGCTTCAAAATCCTAACCTCCAAGAAGAAACTTAGTTTCACTCTCTCCAAGACAGATCTATTTGTTTTCTTGGTGGACCATGGTATGTTCAAGACTCTTCTCCAGGACCACAACTCAAAGGCATCAATTCTTGTCATCCTTATTCACTGTTCAGCTCTCTGATGCATAGCAAGTAATGCAAAGATCATGGCCTGGATCAGGCTCTCCTGAGTCTCAGTATTCTAGAGAGGTCCCTGACAGCATTAATTCCCAGTGCAATTAGTCTTTTGATTTCTAGAACAAATTCCCAATGAATACAACATACAATGATGTACTAACTTAATAGGATCATGCTGTTTTCTATCAGTCAAAGCCAATACCTCTTCCATTCAAACTTACTTACTATTATGTGCAAAGGATCCCTGGAGGCATAGCGTGTACATACAGGGCTGATAATCAAGATGTTATTAGCAATAATAAACCAGTTGTCCCTTTGGAGAAAGATGGGCAGTCCTTTTCCTTAAAAGAACTATGGCCTCATAAACCCAAAGGATGGTCATCAGTAGTCAGAACCAAATGGACGGTAGGGGGTACTCTGTGCAAAGCCAAGACATCAGACAGATTAAAAGATGACAACAGAGTCTTTTCTTCCAAGTAATTTCACCATCTACTTCCTCATCACAGATTTCACCAACACGGGGGATAACCTATTATTAGTAAGTGGAAACTGAGACAACAAAACATAAAATAATGGAAAAAAGTAATCATAGGAAAAAGGCTAGAAAGGATAAGAAGATGTGAGCAGGACTATCTTGACTGGATTATATCCTACCTCCTTTTTTTAGTTTATTGTCCATATTTTCTACAGCGAGAAATAAAAGTGAAAATGTCAAACAAAATACATTTTTATAAGCAAAGCAGGAAGAGTATTCTGAAATAGTCTTAAAACTGCAGCCACCTACTTGACTCTGATGACTCAGTCAACCATCAGTGTAGAAATCTACAAAGTTTTCAGTGGCTGATTTCACTGCCTCTTGATGAATGGGAACCTCCAACCTCTTGGTCAGTTGCTGATCTGCCTTACTTGAACTATCAAGGAACTTAACAACCTTAAGATATACTGTGGAACTATTAACTCTTGGATTCAATATCACAGAGGAAGTGCTTTACACGCACCAACCGATTTAATCTTCACAACTCTATGCAGAGCTACCATAACCATCTCCAATTTACAGATGAGGCTAATGAGGTCTGTTGTTAGGTGCTGTTAGGTTGATTTCAATTCATTGCAACCTCACGTACAATAGGAACTGCCTGGTTCTGTGCCATTCTCACAATTGCTGCTATACTGGAGTTCATCACTGTACTCACTGTGCTGATCTATTTTGTTGAGGGTCTTCCTTTAATTGACCTTCTACTTCACTGAGCTCTGGTGACCTAGTGGTAAGAATCTGCACTGCAATCCTGAAATCTACCAGCTGCTCCAATCTCCTCCCTTGCCATTAATCACCTCTGAAAATCCACTGGAGTGTCAGCTATGGGTCGGATGCAACTCGACAGTATATAACAACTACTTTACTAAGCATGCTGTCCTTCTCCAGAGACTGGTCCCTCCTGAGAACATGTCCAAAGTAAGCGAGACAAAGTTTCTCCATCTTCACTTTTAAGGAACATTCTAGCTGTACTTCCATGACATATTTTGTTTTTCTGTAGACGTAAAGAAAGCAAGGCCTAGAAAAATTCAGGAACTTAACCTTGATTACCTAGCTAATAATAAATTAGGAAGCTGAGATTCAAACCAAGCCAATTTAGCTGCACTTTTAATTATGAAACTTTGTGTCCTACTATTTAATCAAAGGGAGACAGTCAAGTACAATACTTAGAAAATATTGACTACAATTGTGTTACAATATAATTCATTTAAATGTGAAGTCAATTACCTGAGTGATTAACTATGCTCCTGAAAGCTGTAGGAATAAAATACACTATAGTAGTATATTATATATGGTAAAACTGTATTTTAGAAATGTATTCTTTTATATACAGGTAACTTATTGGCAATTGAAAAGACTTTCCAGGATATTTCTGACAATATGCTATTTTTACCTTCCACGTTGTAAATTACTGTATAGGAGAACTTCACAATTATCTTGAGGTACTAGAAACTTTTAATATTTTTTTTAAAAAAATTAGCTTATATTGTCTTTTTTCCAATATCAGATTTATTAATATGATTTATGGAAGAGGAAACATACATATTCACAAAATAAGAAGCCAAAACCCCTCAAATATCTTGCAACCTGGCAGAGGAAACAGAATGAAGAAGATACACTGACTATTTACATAGTTTCTGAAGTAAGATTAATAGGCCCACCACTTTCCACTTAGCTTTGTTGCTGTTATGTACCATCAAGTTGCATGTGACTTAATAGCTACCCTATACACAACAGTTCTGAACCCTACTCTCTCCTGAGCCAACCTTATTGTCTCTGACACACCTAAACTCCACCACCCTAAGTCACTGAGTGAATCCATCTAATCAAGGTCTTTCTCTCTTGTGCTGTCCTTCCAAGCACGGTGTCCCCTCTCCAAGGACTCCTTGCAACAAACCCAAAATATGTCAGAACCCTTGACAAGGAGCAGCCTGTTTTCACCCTTTCCAAGATGAACCTGTTTGTTCTCCTAGTAGTCCACAGTATATTCAGTACTCTTCTCCAGAACCACAGCTCAAAGGCATATATAGTCATGGCCTGGATCAGGCGCATCTTAGTTTCTGGACTGACATTGCTGCTCTTCAGAACTCTGGAGATGCCCCTGACAACAGACTTTCCCAATACAATTCGTCTTTTGATTTCCTGACTGCTGGTACCAAGAGTGTTGATTGTGGAGCCAGCAAACTGAAGCTGTTAACAATCTCACTCTCTTCACCATCTATCATGATGCTACCAATTGGTGATGAGAATCTCTGTTTTCTTGATGTTGAGCTCATCCATATTGAAGGCTGTAGTCATTGACCTTCTGCAGCAAATTCCCCAGGCCCTCCTAACACCCTGAAAATAATTTTCTATCTCTTCCTCCTTCGTATCAGGCCTTTAATTTGCTTTTCCTTTTGAGATTCATTAGTGTGGCTTTAACTGTATTTCAGGAGAGTATTTTGGCCTCTGTAATTAGGTATCTAAATTGTGGAGGCAAAGATGTTCCGTATTATTCCAGAGACAGTGGATTATTCCACAAGTATAATACTAAATCTGAAAAAAGCTCTTCCTATTTGCCTGTAGATCTAAGATCATGAATAAAGGAGAGCCACAGCATGTAGATGTTTTATGAAGGGACTGGTGATAACAGTCACACAGGAGAGAAGGTAGAAGAGTATCTTATAGGATAAAAGATAGAAAAAAAGCTGATTTATCTTGTTTTTCTAATAACATTGACTTTCTACTTTTCTCACTCATGGGAGTGGGAAAAGGTTACATCTGGGGGTGTTGTTGTTGTTGTTAGATGTCACAGAGTCAAGAATGACTCATAGTGACCCAATGAACAAAAGATCTGAACCCAGCCCCATCCTGTGCCATCCTCACACTTTGACACACAAGAGCCCATTGCAGCAGTCACCTTTTCAATCCACGTGGTTGAGGGTCTTCCTCTCCTTTACCATGTCACCACCCTTCCCAGCATCATGTCCTTCTCCAAGGAATTGCACCTCCTAGGAACAAGTCCAAAGTCTGTAAGGCAAAGGCTCATCATTCTTGCCTCTAAAGAGCACTCCAGCGGTATCACCTCCAAGACCTATCTGTTCATTCTCATGGCCGTCCATGGGATGTTCAGTGCTTTAAGAAATATCCATCTACCATGACGTTTATAGTCCTTGGTTTTAGTCCTAGGTCCATGATCCACTTTGAGTTGTTTTTTGTGTATGGAGGAAGGTATGGATCTTGCTTGAGTTTTCTGCAGATAGTTTTCCAGTTTTGCCAACACCGTTTGTTCAAAAGGCTATCGTTTCCCCACTTATCTGCTTTCATTTCCTTGTCAAAAATCAGTTGACCATAGGTTGAACATAGGCTGATTTCTGGATTCTCAATTCTATTCCATTGAGGTATGTGTTTGTCATTGTACCAGTATCATGCTATCTTGACGACAATGGCAGTGTAGTAGGATTGGAAATCAAGGAGTGAGATGCCTCCTACTTTGTTTATCTTTTTAAGGAGTGCTTTGCTTATTCAGGGCCTCTATTTCAAATGAAACAGGAGATTGTCTTTTCCATCAAATTGAAGAATGGGATTGGTATTCATATTGGGATTGCACCGAAAGTGTAAACTGCCTTTGGAAGTATTGTCATTTGCACAATATTGAGTTTTCCTCTCCAAGAGCAAGGAATATTCTTCAATTTCTCCAGGTCTCTTTTTGTTTCCTATAGTAATGTTTTGTAATTTTCTTTGAAAAGATCCTTTG